GAACGGATCCGTTTGTCCATCATTCGCAAGCGGATCGGATACGGAGTTCGCGAACGGATAGAATACGGAATAATGTGCTGTGGTTTTCTGAAAACGGGTCGCGTGCGGTCCGTATACGGTTCCTATTTCAACCGCGCGCGAACGCTGAGCGCCCGTAACGGATTGTTCGCGAATCACCTGTGTAATTCAAAGTTAAACGATAGATGGTCTTTCTATTACAGGTTTTACGGTGATTACACATTTTTGGGAACTTTTTGTGTCTCTTTTCCCTTTTTGTGTCACTTTTTGTGTCTCTTTTGCCATACTTCAAACTTGACAGTGGGGGCTCTTCTGTTACAGGTTTTACGGTATGTCTAAGTAACTTCGCACTACAGCCGTACAGGTTATAAGCACCAACAAGACAGTCTGAAATTTTTTGTGAGCATCGTTTGTTCATCCATAGTTGACTTTTTTGAAAAACTCGAGATCCTAAATTTCAATACACCTTGGTAAAATATGCCAAAGATTCCATATAAATCACCAGGCCTCACCTGCCAACTAAATATTTCCCATAGTGTTTTTTTTCATTCATCCTCCACCACTTATCTTCATTTCTTTCTACCACCAGAAGATTTTCTCACCTTTCCCTATAGTGATCATTTGCAAGTTTTGTCTCTCTCCATTCTACACACTATTTCTCCAAAAACCACCGCTTCTTCTGAAGGCGCTAGCCACCAGCGATTGCGTAGGCACCGGCTTCTTCTCCCGTTTTTTTTCATTCGTTTTCCCTCATATCTGAATAAGAATAATGAAAAGAAAGAGAGAACGAGACAACCAGAGATGCTATTACGTGCATACGTTTCGAGAGGATCCTCTGCCGATGAGGAGAAGAAGAGGACTGGTTTCTAGGTGGAGATGGAAGAAGAAGCAGGAGGGATGAGGTGTTGTGGTGGTTGGTGGTGGAATAATACTAGTACTTTTGCTAATTGGCAAACTAAGAAATCCGAGATCCAATTTCTTTTACAAGTCTTACTGTAATCGCTTTGGATGTTTTTGTGATCCCAACCATTTTGTTGTCGCAAGACTTGAAACGCTTTGAAATGTTTAATTTAAGTTTGGGTTACTGTAAGACTCTTATTCTCCTATTTAATCTCGTATTCCGTATTTGAAGATTTTGAGGGAAAGAGAACCATCGTGATATTTTTAGAAATAGATTCAATAGAATTTGTAAGATATTAAGAGTTCTAATTTATTTTCCAATTGAATCCTGCTACTGCCAAATTCTAGACCTTCGTTTATTGTCGAATTGAAAACAGCTGACACCTGAGAATTTGAAAATTCTCGTTTTTTTAATCTACGAAAAAGTACGGCTAGATCGTAATATTTCCGGCTTTCGCCTCGTTTGGGCCACTTTCGCAGTTAAGTTCAGTTTTTCAATAAAAATAAATTCTAGAGATGCTAGCGATCATTTTCATACCAAGAAATCCAAATTCGGTTCAGAAAAGCATTGAACCCACAGAAATTAATATTTTCAGTACAGTATACCGATTTTGGGGCGTAGCCTCGTAAATCGGCACGAGCCCGCCCGCGAAATTTTTCAGCTCTCAGTTTTTTAATTCGGCAATAGCCTTTACCACACGAGATTGCAAACGCTTTGGAGCTTGGGCGAGCTTGATAGCGATCCTTTTGAGTTTAATAGGTAAAACAATATTGTAAAATTATTTATCTTCGGTGTAAAATCTGAAATCTTTCTCTCTTTCTCACAGCATATTGTAGATAGTTGAAAGATGTTCCAAGTGTACTGTAAAGATTTGTGTGAAATCTTAAAACCCTGGCATTCATTATTTTTACAATGCTAACGGCTTTCTGATTACCATAGAACCTGTAATAGGAGGGCCCGCACCTTTACCCTAGAGCCAATTTTTCTCGGTTCCTGTCAAAAATGAAAATTTCGCTTACTTAAAAATTGATTACCAGAAGCCGAGAAAAAATAGCTGAAACTTTACAGTCTGGTTGCCCTTCTAATACAAGTCTTACGGTATGTTCCTGTTTGAAAGTTATTTGAAAGATTAAACTATAAAGATATCATAGCTTCTTTAATTTTCTTTTGCATAACCATTTCAAAAGGTGCATTTACAACAGTTTGTTTGGAGGCTGAAACTCTAACTGTTCAAAGAAGTTCTCCTTATTTTCTGATAATTCTGAAATTATTTAGATGGGTTTCCTAATGAAAACCAAAAATCATGTTGATTATCTCAGCCTAATCAGTCATCCCGTTCTGTCAGTGCAGTATTGCGCTCAATCGAATTTAAATGCTCCTTTCGGGTCTCCCCCCCAAATCCTCAAAGCATCCTGTCTTATCTTCCATTGACAGAACCCACGCCCATTTTTCCAAATGTTCTTCCCTTTCCTGAAATTTCAAAAATGAAAAGAATCGTACAAAAAACCAAGCATCCTCCTATTTTTCATCTTGATCCGGACAAAAAAAGAGGACAAGTCCTCAAATGGCGTTTCGTGTTTGTTGTGTATATTGCCAATTGATCCTAATCGTATTGATGCAATAGTCTGGCATTGCCTCTGCTGCTTTCGGCATTTGCCCCATCATACCCGGTTCCACGCATCCCCTCCTCCTCCTTTTTTGCCCTTTTCCTCTAATTTTTGTCACTCTGTATGTTTTAAATGTACATCTCTTTTCCCTTTCCTCATGCCCAAATTCACTCATTACAGTGGATTTTCGAAAGAAATGGAAAAGCATGTTACACACCTTTCGATAATCTGAATCCTTTCGTTTTTCGATCACTATTGGCAAACATGTTACCGATGTTCCATTCGTTACGCAATCGATTCTCCGCCCTTCAAGTTTTCTCCCCCTTTTTCCTTCGTTCACTTCTTCAAATCATTTTCTCTTTCTCTCATTTAGCCCCGCTTCTTCTTCTAATCTTAGCTTTGTGAGAATGGCAACACGACTGTACCGTTCGAATCGAGTCGCATGTAGATCAAGTGTCTATTTATTTTTAGATAGTTTTAAGCTTTCCTGTTCCAGTGCTTTAACTGAAGTCCAGTGCTTTAACTTGACTCTAGCCACTTAAAATTCTATGCCACAAAGTTCGGAGCTTGAATAAAATTGACCCAAAATTAAATTTTTATTGACCCAATTTCTGTGCCAAATTTTCTATAACTTATAAGGTGGCTCACAATTACCCAGACTGATAAAAACAGGTAAATCTTCAGAAATACCGTATTTCCTCTATTTGGAGCTCACCGCTAATAGAAGCCCGCAAAATTTCGGAATTTCAGATTTCGAAAATTTTAGAATTTTTTTCCGGAACTTCGAATTTTGAGATCCCGGAATCTCAAAACTTCATAAATTCGTTATTTTGGAATTTAGAATTGCAGAAAGAAAATTACGAATTTTCCAAAACACTGAATTTCAGAAGTCTTATTTTCCGATTTGTCAAAGTTCTGTTTTTTTAAATAAAAATTTTTCAAAAAAAAATAGCCCTCTATTGTCGAATTAAAAAAGTGGGATCTGAGAATTTGAAAGACGTAGCTTTTTTTTTGATCTACGAAAAAGCGCGGCAAAAACGTAATATTTCAGACTTTCGCCTCGTTCGACCTACTTTCGCAATTAAGTTCGGTTTTTCGATGAAAAACAGATTCTAAAGATGCTAGCGATCATTTTCATACCAAGATATCTAAATTTTGTCCAGAAAATCCCACTGAATTCACAGAAACACAGAAATAAGTTTCGTTTACTACTGTAGTGATTTTGAGGCCAGGCCTCGAAAATTGACCGGGAAGCCGCCCGCGAAATTTTCCAGGTCCCACTTTTTTTGATTCGACAATAATTGAAGCCCACCTCTAATAGAAGTCAAACCTGAGAACACGGTTAAAAAATAGAAGCCCACGGGCTTCTATTAGAGGAAAAAGGTATGTATTTTGGAAGCACGAAAATAGGTAGAAATATAACTTTTTGTTCGATTCAAAGCTACTGAAATTTTCAAAGCAATTCATCAAGTTTTCTTCTAGGAATAATATGACTGTCCAAAGATGAAATGTTTCATGCACACCGATGTGATTTTCATGAAATCTGGCAACTTTGACAAGCGATAACTCAGCTCAAAGTTGATCAAATAACTGGAAACGCCAGTTTACTGATGAATTATTTGAATTTCTTTACTTCCAGTTTGAGCCCAAGACAACGCTTCACTCCAAAATTTATGGTAGTACAAACTTTAGTTCGGGTGATTATGCGCCACCCTTAAAACGTCGATTCTTTAAATGTTGAGCCATGAACTATTGGTTAGCACTGAACAGAATGTCGCATCAAATACACATCTCATATTTCAGTGAAAAAATAAATTATTCGAAAATGCGTTTATTTTTCTGAGAATTTAGACACTCGCACTTGGGTTCAAGCCAACGGGTCGAAAAATGCGCCCCAGATAACTTTTAGGCCAGAAGAAATTTAATAATTTCAAAGTTGACGTGGATTTGACCTAATTAGTTTTAATCAACGAGTTGCAACGCGTTATTTTTTCGTCCAACGTTTAAAAGTTTGATCCTCAGCCACATAATTCAGTAGCTAATTTTTTTCTAAAATCTCACGTTTACTGGG